TTTATTTATTATGTATACAATATTCTGTCTGTATGCCTGAAGGCCAGAAGAGGGCGCCAGACCTCTTTACAGATGGTTGTGAGCCACCATGTGGTTGCTGGGAATTGAACTCAGGACCTTTGGAAGAGCAGGCAATGCTCTTAACCACTGAGCCATCTCTCCAGCCCCTAAAAGATCTGTTCTTGAACGTGGACCTTGGAGTGGTGGATGGTCAGCCCATACCTCTTCTCCCCTTCACTGGGAGTGACTGGAATAGGAATTCTCCCTGTGGTTTGGGGAACTACATCCCATAGTATTTAATGATTGATGATTATTTGCATGGTTAAGGCCGTGGCTTGTCTAGATTGGAGGCTGGACCTATCTGTAGGTCCAATCTGTGATGGTGAGGTCCCAGCAGGATGTGCGCAGGATGCGCGAGGTCCCAGCATTCTGTCTTTAGCGTGGGAAGAACCATTCACATCAACCTTTGCTGATTCTCCTCCCTTCCTCCACAGCATGCCCAAGGATCTGTCTGAGACCTTGAAGGAGGCCACCAAGGAGGTGCACACCCAGGCAGAGAACGTTGAGTTCATGAGGAACTTTCAGAAGGGCCAGGTGACCAGGGAAGGCTTTAAGGTATGTGACTGTCGGTTAGCCAGAACATTTGTGTGTGTGTGTGTGTGGAGGGGTGGTTAGGAGGTACGCCCAGAGATCTCAGGCCAATAATTGAGTGGAGAGGTTGGAGTCAGGGACGATGAAGGCTTGTCCAAGGAAGTCATCCTACTAATTTTGGCACTAGCTCAGAGAAGAGAGGAGAGGGTCACACAGCAAGTTCTTGGCCTGCTGTGTGATGCTGACCGAGGAGCCTGGACGGCAGGATGGCTAACTGAACACCTACTCTATGTTGGTCGCTTTATACTCCTGTCTCGGCCTTGAGGAGTCGATAAGGGGAAAGCCCCGAGAGGTTAAGAGGCCACACAGTGAGCATTATGTGGAAAAGACCGAAACCAAACAGAGATGGCCTAATTTCAGAGTATGCACGCCTGATCTGACTAACCCTGTGCCTTGCATGGGCTGGATAGCTTCTCAACCAACCGCTGACCTTGGATTATTGGATAGGGTCTCACTACGTAGTTCAGGAACGCTCAATGCTCCCAAGTCAGTCTCCTGAGTATTTGGGCCACAGGCTTGTACCACCATGCCCAGATCTTTAGCCCAATTCCAATTTGCTTCTGAAGGCAAGGGGAAGTTGCCTTAGCCCTGCAGTGTCTTGTCCTCACAGTGAGATTGTCTAGCTCATTCAGCCTCCCGAGTGCTTCTGAGAAATCTGGTTTCGACAGTAGGGCTTTCTTAAGTGCCCAGCATACACAATAGACTCTGATTCTGCACAGTTGTGAAACTGATGTCAGTAAAAAACTTTAGATGCAGCTGTACACGCCTTTAATCCCAGTACTCAGGAGGCAGAGGCAGGGAGGTCTCTGTGAGTTCAAGGCCATTCTGGTCTACAGACAAGACTGTGTAGCCAGGGCTACACTGGGAAACCTGTCTCAAAAAGCCAAAAAGAGAGGAAAAAGAAAATACTAGACATACAGTAGAGAACACTGTGAGCTGGGTGGAGATGGAGGGACTGCAGAGTGGTGGGGACAGAGAATCTCCCAGTAGGCAGCCATAGAGGGTTTCTGAGAAACTGGCTCTGGTTTCAGCTGGTGATGGCCTCCTTGTACCACATCTACGCGGCCCTGGAGGAGGAGATAGAACGCAACAAGCAGAACCCTGTCTATGCCCCACTCTACTTCCCTGAGGAGCTGCACCGAAAGGCTGCCCTGGAGCAGGACATGGCCTTCTGGTATGGGCCCCACTGGCAAGAGACCATTCCTTACACTCCAGCCACGCAGCACTATGTGAGACACCTCCACGAGGTGGGGCACACTCATCCCGAGCTGCTGGTGGCCCACACGTATACCCGTTACCTGGGTGACCTCTCAGGGGGCCAGGTCCTGAAGAAGATCGCACAGAAGTCCCTGGCCCTGCCTGGCTCTGGTGAGGGCTTGGCTTTTTTCACCTTCCCCAACATCGACAACGCCACCAGGTTCAAACAGCTCTACCGTGCGCGCATGAACACCCTGGAGATGACACCTGAGGTGAAGCACAGGGTGACAGAGGAGGCCAAGACCGCCTTCCTGCTCAACATCGAGGTGAGCCCCACTGCTCTTCCAAGTCACACTCCTGCTATTAGAGGGGGAGGGTCCAGGAATCACAGTGAAGTACGAGGACTTGGGACCAGAGGCCTGATTAGTAGCTGGGTGATCACGGACAGATCTCACCTCCCAGTTCGTCAGTTTCTCTATTTGTAAAATAGGGGTAATGATAGTGTCCATTTTCAAGGTGTGAGGGGCAAGGAGGCTGATACAGTTCAGACCTCGTGGAAGGGCTGGTATAGGGTAAGCTCTGTGATGCCATTGCTCTCTGGTGTTGTGGGACGTGATTGTCGTGGAGATGGCATCCTCTGACAGTGGTGTGACTGGCAGAGTACTTACGCACTTATGCATAGCCAGGTTGGCACTGTAAGGTTTTCAGAGGCTGGAATGCTTCAGGTGGCATTTGCTTTAGGAGATTTTGTACGTAGTCACAGAGATGTCTCACTTTCTGCAAATGTGGGTCTTGTAATGATTTTTTTTTTTTGATGTGCATTGTTTTTTTTTTGCCTGCATGTGTGACTGTGTGAGGGTGTCAGATTCCTTGGAGCTAGAGTTACAGGCAGTTGTGAACTGCCATGTAGGTGCTGGGAACTGAACTTGGGTTCCCTGGAAGAACAGCTGGTCCTCTTAACCTCTGAACCATCTTCCCAGTCTCTAAGAAGGTGGATTTTGAGCAAGGGTTTGAAAGATAGAGCTGGAAGGGTATAGTGTCCTATTGATGGGGTTGTTTTGATGGTCAGGGTTTCAATTCATACCCTCCTGGCTCCCTGCTTTCAGTCTGGGAACCCTTAAAAGGGTCATCAGGCAAACACCTGTTAAGAAACTATCCTTTCAAATTTCTAAATCCAACCACATCTAGACCATTTGTATCCTTCTGAGGATATGAAGCTGGGAGGTGGTGGCACACGCCCTTAATCCCAGCACTCTCTGGGAAGCGGAAACAGATGGATCTCTGAATTCAAGGTTAGACCGGTCTACAGAATGAATTCCAGGACAGCCAGGGTTGCACGGAGAAACCCTGTCTGGTGAAAAACAAACAAAAAACCTCAGCCCAGCTGAGAGCTGGGTCTCCATCCTGACCTTAGTCAATCTCGAGCAAGCTCTGCTCCAGGAGCTGTGGTTTCCTCACCTGCACAAGCAGCCTCTTAGCAAGGATGAGCCGAGCAGTGCACAGCTCAGAAGAGACAGCAGTTTGAATGGTTGTATGCTGCACAGCCACCACACATCCATGTGTTATTTCAGAGGAGGCAAAGTGGCTCTCCTTGTGGGCATACACATAAAATCTTGAATTCCAGCTTCAGGACAGCTGTTACTGGTGGGGCCCAGGTGGGGGTACAGACAGCACTGGGGAAGCACAGGCAGGGGAGCTAACTAAACCTGTCATATCTCTCCTAGGGTAGGTGAAAGACACATGGGTGTTTGATGACAGTATGTCTTGTCTTCTAGCTGTTTGAGGAGCTGCAGGGGCTGCTGACACAGGACCACAAGGATCAGATCCCCTCACAGATGGAGCGGCTTCGCCAGCGCTCTGGTAGCCTGGTGCAAGGTAAAGATGCCTTCTCGCCTCCGGCTCTTCTTGGCAGGAACATGGCACAGCTGTCTGTCTCTGGGATTTCTTTATTCTCCTCTTTTCTGAATGTTTTAAATTAGAAATAGGGTACAGATAAAAGGACCCAGGGTCAGCCTGTAATGTGTGACTGGGTGAGCAGTTTCCCCATATTGGGCATTGGCTGAGGTATACAGAAATCCCTTAGAAGTCACTGGCAGAGAAATCCTTTCATTTAGGAACATCCCTCCAAAGTGTTTTTGAGGCAGTTATACTGTGTTACCCAGGCTGGCCTCAAACCCCTGGTAACAAACAATCCTCCTGCCTCAATCTTTCATGAATAGCTGCGATTGTGTTTTCTTTTTCAGACCCACTAAAGGCTCTGGAAGACTCCCATATAAGGCAGGGCTTTGGGAGCCTTTTCTTTTTAATATTTATTATGTGTACAATATTCTGTCTGTGTGTATGCCTGCAGGTCAGAAGAGGGCACCAGACCCCATTACAGATGGTTGTGAGCTACCATGTGGTTGCTGGGAATTGAACTCAGGACCTTTGGAAGGGCAGGCAATGCTCTTAACCACTGAGCCATCTCTCCAGCCCTTTGGGAACCTATTTTAAGTGCTGATCTTCCAGGGGACACTGGGAATGCATGTGATTATTGGACTTTGAGTGCCAGCCCCTTTCTCCTGTGCCTTCCTACATGATATCTGGACCTATATATTAAGACTTTAAAAAAGACCAAAGTGACACAAAATGTGCCTTTCTTGAGCCTGCCACCCCTGGGACAGAGTGTGGCACAGGGAAGTTGTAGACAGAGTTCCTGTCTTGCCCGGTCCTGCAGCCATTCAGCCCCAAAGAAACACACAGAGGCTTATATTAATTGTAAACTAACTAGCTCTTACAACTTAAATTAACTCATAATTCTTGTCCATATTTAGCCACGTGGCTTGGTACCTTTTCTCAGTAAGGCATTCTCATCTTGCTTCCTCTGTCTCCACCTTTCGTCTTCCCAGAATTCTCTTTGTCTGGTTGCCCCTCCTATACTTCCTGCCTGGCTACTGGTCAATCAGCATTTTATCAAACCAATACAAGTGACACATCTTTACCGCGTACAAGAGCATTATCCCACAGCAGGGAGTGGGTGACGAGAGAATGGGCAGGGCAGGTTATGTGAAACTGTTTTGCTCGATGCCATCCTAACATTTTGCCTAAGGTTCTCCCATTCTCCCAACTGGGACAGGATCCCATGGCTCTGTTACTAATAGTATTGTTTCTGGTGCCTGAAATGTGACCAGTCCTGATGGTACTGGCTACCTGATTGGGACTGTCCCTTGATATGACATGGCTGAACACAGGAGAGTGAACAGCTTGGGAGGGAGGGAGTTCCTAGCTTTGAAGGTATTTATTCACGCAGTTGCTAGTGGACAAGAACGCTCTGTGCTATTGCAGGAGCTGTACCAGAGATAGACACTGCGTCTCCTTTACACTGTGTACTTTAATGTCATATTCCCCAGGCTACATGTGTTTGACCTTTTCTATCTTTCTCTTTCAGACGCTACCCCTGAAGAGATACCCAGAGGGAAATCCCGAATCAGCAGCACTAGCTCATCCCAGGCGCCATTCCTCCGATGGGTCCTTACTCTTAGCTTTCTGATGGCAACAGTGGCAGTGGGAATTTATGCCATGTAAATGCAAATGTGCTGGCCCCCAGGGGCTGTGAACTCTGTCCATGAAGGGCCTTCTCTCTATTAGGGAGATCTTGCCTGGCTCTCTTCTCTTGGGCCTCTAAGACACTTTGGGGGCTCCTAACCCCCTCTCTGCAATGGAGAAAGATGATCAATGCATTTTTTTTTCCTTCACCAAAAGCACATCCAGCCAGTGGCCTTAAGTGGCAGCTGATCTGAGCCAAGGCTTTGGTTGTTGGCATCTGTGTAAACTGGCCATGACCGCTTTCCTAAGGTTTCATGGCCACTTTGATAACAGTGTGTAGAGGTGTTCAGTCTTATGTTTCTGTCTTTGTTTGTTTTTTGTTTTGTTTTGGGGGCAAGATTTCTGTAGCTTTTGGAGCCTGTCCTGGAACTTGCTCTGTAGACCAGGTTGGCCTCAAACTCAAAGAAACCTACCTGTCTCTGCCTCCCTCCCGAGTGCTGGATTAAAGACGCACCACCACCGTCCAGAGTGTTTGTCTTTTTTTATTATTTCCCCAATCCCACCAGAAAGGTGGTATTTTGTCTTGGTTTTTTCCTAACAAAGTTGGGCTGTCTTTTGAGGGGTGGGTGGGAAAGAAGTATTTAATAGTTGTAACCTTTGTCTTGAATTTCTGTATGAAATAATAAATGACATTATCTAACAGTCACCGAAGTGTCTTCATGTCTCTGCTGTTCATGAAACGGGCCCTACTCCTCTTGTCTCTTCAGTACCTGGCAGGAGGGTAGCTGCGATGTTGGACTGTGCTTGACATTTGGAAGTGATCTTATTTTAAAAGGATCTCACTATGTAATCCTGGTTGATTTGGAACTTGCTGTGTAGAGCAACTGGCCTTGAACTCACTGAGATCCTCTCAGCAACTGGGACTAAAGCATGGGCCACTGTGCCTGGCCAGTCCACCTGATTTTTAGATACAGCGTCTCACTGGCCTCTAGCTCCCAGATATATATAGCTCCAGGGACCCTCCTGTTGCAGCACATGGCACCATGCCTGACTGACATATCTCTTCAGCCCAAAGACTCACAATGCCTGAGGCTGAAATGGGCAGATTTGAGGGTAAAGTTAATACTCTGAATGATTCTTAGGATGAATACCTGGGTTCAAGTTTTTTTCTTTCTAACTTTTCACTCATTTTGTGTGTGTGATGCATGTTGGGAGGCACAGCCCTGTAGTCAGTGTGAGTAGACAGTTCTTCCACTTTATGTGGGTTCTAGAAGTTGAGTTTAGACTTGGGCAGCAAGTACTTTTTCTACTGAACCATCTACTTCTGCACTTGGGTTGGTCACTTAACCCCTCTGGGACTCAAATTCACCACCTGTGACATTAATACAATGATGTTGACCTCACCTGCTTGTCTTGAGAAGCACATTCAATCCCAAGGCCTTCCATCACCCAGCTCTCTTATGCAGTGTCTTCTGACTCTTGTACTGGAGGAGTCATCTGTCACGCGTGTGGATATATATCCTCGTGGCAAACGTGCCAGTGTCAGGATTTCAGCCCCAGTGATGAAAACCATCCAAACATTGAACGGGAAGCTCCTACTGTATGTTTAGTGGAGGTAGAGCAGGGAACGAAGTACCTACTTTGGATCACTGGTATCAGAGGTCTGGGAGTTAGCAGATCTTTGTCCCTCATACTGGCTTTATTACCAAGTCTGGAACCATGGGCACATTGCTTCAGATCTCATTTGCTCATGGAAAAAGATGAGCAATACATCTGCCTCTCACTGCTGATGAAGGAATACAATAATGTCAAAATGATGTCAAAATACTATTCTGTGCACAGAAACTCCAGAGGTACTCAGTCACAGAATTTAGAACTTTGCCAAGAGGTGGGATCCCAGAGTCACCATACAAGAAAGACATCCTGGATGGTTCAGATATACATACAACCAGGTCCGGAAGTCATTCTTTATGAAATTCAGGATAGAGGTATAGATAACAATGCAAAGATAACAATGATTGCTCTCCTATTGTGGGCCCAGTTTCCTCACCTGTGAACATTTTCATTGTGATAAAGTAAGAAAGGTTGAGGGGGAGGTCTTGAAGAGATGGCTCAGTGCTTAAAAGCACTGCCTGCTCTTACAAAGGACCCTAGTGCAATTCCCAGCACCCACATGGTGACTCACAACAGTTTGTAACTCTAGTTTCAAGGGATTCGAAACACTCTTCCTGTCCTTCTTGGGTACCTGACACACATGTAATGCACTGACATACATGCACATGAAACATCCATACATATAAAATTAAACAAAAAGCCTGGGGATATAGCTCAGTGGCAAAGTGCTTGCCTAACATGTGGGATGCCTTGGGTTCAAACGTAATACCTGGAGGGTGAGGAAGTAAAGGGAAGGAAAAAGGGACAGAACAAAACTATTCCTTTGAAAACTATTCTTTTGAATTCCACAAAGGAATAGTTAAGTGCCAGCCTGCCCTGGGTCTTTAGTGGTAGGTTTGTGGACTAGAAGGGGGTTAAGGGGCTGACCAGAGTTAAGGGAGTGAGAATTACAAAGGGTTAGTAAATGTAGATGTTTTGAGGCCAGCTGTGCCTGCCAGCAGACAGTTATCAAAGTCCAAATTCTATCTTCTTACAGAGACTGGACAACAGGTCCTATCCTCAGGGCTGCGTGGAGCAATCAGTGATTTTGTCACCTTCCATTTTCTCTGGCTAGAGAATGGCCTTGAACCATTCCAAATATTAATGGTTATTCAATTTTTTTTTTTTTTTTTTTTTTTTTTTTAGATAGAGGCAAAGCAGGGATAGGCAGGAAAACAGCCCAGCCACCCTCACCTGTCTGTACATGGCTCATGTCTCTTGCCTTGCCGACTGGTCAAGAGTTTCAACGATGCCTCACAAACCAACCATTTCAGGTCTCTCACACTTTCTCATGCACAAACCATCATGCAGGTAAAACACTATCATATAGATAAAATAAAACAGATATCTTAAAATTAAAACAAACAGTTGAGCGGTGGTGGCACACTCCTTTAATCCCAGCACTCAGGAGGCAGAAACAGGTGGATCTCTAAGTTGGAGGTCAGTTTGGTCTACAGAGCTAGTTCCAAGATAGCCAAAGCTACACAGAGGAACTTTGTCTCAAAAAACAAAAAAACAAAACAAACAAAAAAGAGAAAATCTTTTGATAAGGAAATGAATAGACCAACACACTCCTCACTCCTCCCACTTGAGTGAGTGTAGGTTCACTCCTATACACAGTTGAATTCCAAAGCCCCCAAGCTGTCTGTTTAATGGATCTGAAGCACTTATGCCTTCATTTGGCTCTCTGTAAGTGCATCTGTCCATTTATTTTGTCTTTTCTTTCTTTCTTTTTGTTTTTAATATTTATTTATTTAGTATACAATATTCTTTCTGTGTTCATGCCTGCAGGCCAGAAGAGGGCACCAGACCTCATTCCAGATGGTTGTGAGCCACCATGTGGTTGCCGGGAATTGAACTCAGGACCTTTGGAAGAGCAGGCAATGCTCTTAACCACTGAGCCACCTCTCCAGCCCCTTGTCTTTTAAGATTTATTATTATTATTATTATCTGAGACAGGATTCGTCTGTGTAATGCTGGCTGTACTGGGACTCACTCTTTAGATCAGGCTGGCCTCAAATTCAGAGATCAACCTGTCTCTGCCTCCTGAGGGCTAGGATAAAAGGCGTGTGCTGCTACCACTTGGCAATTTATTTATTTTAAGGTTATATTTATGTGTATGAATGTTTTGGTTGCATCTACATATGTTCACTACATGTATGTCTGGTACCTGTAGAAGCCAGAAGACAGCATCCGATGCCCTGGTACTGGAGTTACAGATGGTTGTGAGCCACTATGTATGTGCTGGGAGCTGACTGGGACACTCTGCAAGAGCAACCAGTGCTCTTAACTGCTGAGCCATCTCTCTAATACTGCCTGTTTCTTGACCAGTGATCTTGCTGACTCTGCCTTACCCTAAGATTCTTCTTTTTTCTTTTTAAATAGTTATTTATTATGTATACAATATTCTGTCTATGTGTATGCCTGAAGGCCAGAAGAGGGCACCAGACCCCATTACAGATGGTTGTGAGCCACCATGTGGTTGCTGGGAATTGAACTCAGGACCTTTGGAAGAGCAGGCAATGCTCTTAACCTCTGAGCCATCTCTCCAACTCCCTAAAATTCTTTTCTGTACAGTAAGTCAAGCATCCCATCTGTACCTGAGGGAGGCTCCAGTCACCCATATGGAATTACATCTCTGCTGTTGGTGACAACTGTTGAGAACAGACTCAGAGCCTAGATTTTGGTCAAGAAGAGACTACAGCAGCTTCAAATAGAATGTGCTAGATCTCTTGTCACACAGAGATGACCATGAAATGCTGAGAAAACCAAGTCTTAGATTCACTTGATATTTTTTATAAACTACAAAAATACATATATTTTACCCTCTGTAAATACATGCATAGAACAGGTTTCCACTTGTTCATGTGCACGGTCGGAACTCAACCAGTGTGGCTCTACCAAATCTGTCATTTTTTTTCAAGATTTCAATTTGGAAATTTATGAATTTCACCTTAAGCATTGCCAAAGAATTGAAAATTTTCTACCATTGTCATCATCATTCACCTGGACCTGGATGAAAGAAAACAGTTCCTGGGCTGGAGAGATGGCTCGGAGGTTAAGAGCACTGACTGCTCTCCCAGAGGTTCTGAGTTCAATTCCCAGCAACCACATGGTGGCTCACAGCGATCTGTAACGAGATCTGGTGCCCTCTTCTGGCTATGCAAGCATACATGGAAGGAATGTTGTATACATAATAAGTAAATCTTAAAAGAAAAAAGAAAACAGTCCCTTTTAGTTCATTTTAGTTTTGGTGCCATCTGGCTCTAGGGGTCGGTGAGCTGTCTGAAAGTGGAAACCAACCTGTCGCCAGAGCTAGCTGCCAGGGACAGTACTCTGGCGTCTCCTGCTGGGCTGGGGCAAAAGAACACCTCTCAGCCATACTACTTTCTCCCAGTAGCTCAGAGGGGTGATTTCTCTTACAGTATCCGCATATTCTTTAAAAATTTATTTTGTCTGTGTAAGGGTGTTGGATCCCTTGGAATTGTAAATACATTGTTGTTTTTACATGTTGTGAGCGGCCATGTGAGCGCTGGGAATTGAACCAGGGTACCATTAACCGCTGAGCCATCTCTCTAGTCCCTTCCACTCTTAAGGCCGAGTTTCATTCATTTTCATCAGGGCTAGAATAAATCACCATACTCAGTGACATGGGAGTCTACCCTTTATGCGTGTCTGTGTATACCCGTGGGAGATTTATATGTACCCAAGTAGTAAGTGCTCGTGCCTGCAGAGGCCAGAGAACATCTGATCCCCCAGAGCTGGAGTTACAAGCCTGAGATGCCCGATATGGGCGTGTGTGTGGGAACTGTCTTCTGCAAGAGCAGTACGCTCTTTACACTGCTGGGCCATTGCTACTGTCCATTCTTTTAAGTTAAAAAATACATGCATCTCATACGTGCATCTCTATATCACGTATATGTGCCCACTGAGGCCAGAGAGGACGTTAGATCCCCTGGAGCTGGAGTTAGATGCAGTTGTGAGCCCCTCTGGGAACCCAGGAGTAAGAACAGCAAGCGCCGCTGTTCATCATGGAGACATCTCTCAGGCCCA